CACATTTTCCCTTTAAATCCCACTGTGATGGATTGGATAATTCGATGATGTTGTGATATATGATATATGATAATAGGTTCTGGGACAGCAGGTACATAGGACGAATGGATTTATATATAGAAATAAAATATTTTAGGAAATTCCGAAAGAAAAATATAATGTCACTTTTTTGCAATAATAATTTTATAATACATTACTTTTTAAATATAAAAATTAAACTAAAAAGAGGTTTCATAACATACACCCCACCTTGCGTGTGCGCAATGCTAAAGAACAACAATAAAATAAAAATAAATCACAGGTTTAGACGTCGAGGCAGTTTCACAGGACGACCAGAACGTGTTGTCTTTGTTAAAAGATTGTCGGGCTCAAGAGTGGGATCTGCGACTTTATCATTTGACCCTGATGACTGTGGAAACTGAATACTCTCTAACCTCGATAACTCTAAAGGAAATAAACGTTGCAGTGCACGAACACGTTCACCCTTTGCTGTTTTAACACGTGCTACCCTACCGACATTATCAACACCTAAACATATCTCTAAAATGAGACCTAAAGGCCAGTTAACGCGCTTCAAATCATCTGAACCTATAAGCACGATATCTCCAGGTTGAAGATTGTTCTCGTTTTTAGTGTTCTTTTGTACTAGTAAAGATAAATATTCTGACCGAAATCTTTGTTGTAGATCTGTATTAATTTTTTCGATATAACTACATATAACGAGTAGTAAGGTTAGGTGATTTAACTTGGTTTAAATCAAACGTAGAAGTATTGCCTACCTTACACTTGCTCAATCTTCGTGGAATGCGACATTTCTCAATTGATGATACTTGTTGGAGCCATTCTTTTGCAGACTTTTCTAATTCGAGAGTAAGTTCCTTATCCCAGTCCATTGTCCTTTCCCAACACTTTTGTATTAACAATTTTGGTATCAGTGTAGTAGGACAAAGAAACCCGATTGGATCAAAAATGCTCTGAGCCATCGATAATAGTACTCGTTTAGTAAGTTTTGTATCAATTTGTTTTAAAAATGGAACTTTACAATACAATTCGTCTGTTTGTGAATTCCAAGTTACTCCTAACACAGAAGTGTCTGTTTGATTTATATCTAGAGTAGAACCAGTCACCCAGCAACGTAACTCAAACTTACCTTCATTCATAATATTTAAAGCTTCGTTGATAAATTTCTCCATTTCGACTTCATTATTCACACTAACAATGCTGTTATCAACATAAAAACTATTCTTCAATAGACTGGTCGTTTCACATTCGTATTTCTCAAGATGGTGCAGTATTGTAGCTGATAGGAGGTAAGGGCTTGTCGTAACACCAAATACTACGCGACGATGCCTAAAAACTTTTAGTTTTCTATCTGCGCTACCGGGATTATTCCACCACAAAAATTTGAGAAATTTACGGTCATCTGGATGAATAGATATTTGTAGGAAAGCCTTCTTTATATCGGCAGTAATACCTATAGCGCCCTTCCTAAGTTGAATAAGTCATTTGGGTATTAATTCTATAAGATTACTTCCTTTTTCGAGACAAGCATTAAGACAAACAACCTTCTTTAGTAATCACAGACACATCGAATACCGAACGAATTCTCGAGGTAAGGCTAGAATCTTTAACAACGACCTGATGAGGTAAATAATGGCCAATTTGCGGATTATCATCTACAACTTCTTCAATTATATTACAATCTAACCATTCTCCAAACACCTCATCATAAGCTGTCAATAATCCTAGTTTATTGAGTTTATTGGTAGTTGAATGAAGACGTTTCAAAGCTAAATTATAATTAGGAGACAATAAATCAGCTGTATCATTCCAATGCAGTTTAATTTCGTACCTATCCTCATCATTTCTGACTACAGTTTCTCGAAGAAATTCTCGACTTCTTCCTCGCGTTTCCTAATACTTTTTACTTGCGCCTCATCTTTAATACCTATGGATTCTAGTTTCCACAAGTCATCAATATCAAAAGAACAAGCGTGTACTGAAGTAAAAATAGAATACATACCGGAAGTCCCTGAATTACCCAACCAAATTTCGTCTCGATTGCCACTAAATTATCACTCACATGTTCTGATCGCCCAGTGTACAGCGAACCTAAAACATCAGAACCAATTAGTAAAGAAATCTCAGTCACTTCATCAACACAATCAGTAATATGTATACCTTTTGCTTGTAGTTGTGACAAAAGTATACCTGGTTTCACCTTTGGCAAATTATCGCATATTGTCTTTTGCTCGAGTGCCTCTATTTGTAGTTTATATTTGTTATCAAGACTTTTACAGTTTAGCGTAAATAATCTGTGGTTCTCTAATTTAGTCACTACCCCTCCGAATAAATTGTGCCTTAGGTGTTCATTGCCTGTAGGTACAATCTTTAGTTTGTCAATTACATCAGATCTAATAAAAGAGCGTTGAGCACCTGAATCTAGTAGAGCTCTTACTGTAACAACTTGATCTTCGTGAAATAAATGTAACTTGACGGTTTGCAATAGAACAGTACTCTGTTTTGTCGACTGTTTGAGCATTGACTTTTCATCTTCACTCTTTTTTGTTGACTTTTGTAATTCTACGCACATAATTGGGTAATGTCTCTTCTCACAGATGACGCATTTAGGATATTTCCTACATTTCTTCGCATGATGTCCAGTTATAAGACATATCAGACAGGAATTCTTCTTTTTTAGAAAATCTTTTCGCTCCTCTACATTCCATTTGATCGGTGTCTTGCATTCCGAACTATTATGCGTTGATTTTGCACACCACACACATTCTCTTGTTTCATTATTAGTATGTACAATAGTTTTTTCTTTATTCCTTATAGATGTAGTTAAAAAACTGGCAGAAGGAATTACTGGATTTGGATCCACTTTTGCAAAGCCTCCTCGTGATAAATTAATTTTTTCTTCAGATTCAACTTCATTACGAACAAAATGTAACAATTGTGTCAACTGACTTTTACCTTTATCATCAGTAGTGACGTTTATTTGATACCTATTCCATGCTCGCAATATGTCTTCTGGCAGCGCTGACTCCACCATTGGAAATAAAAAGGCGGCATATTTGTCTTGCGTAACACCAAGAGACTCTAAAGCTAGAATTTGTGTCATTAACTTATCATATAGAGTACGAGTGGACATCTTACAGTTATCTTTCCTTTGAACAATAGTTAATTTTAATAACTCTCTAACATAATGTTCAATTATAAGTTCGTCTTTTGCATACCTTTGTTTGAGCTGCTGTATCACCTTAGGGTAGTTTTCGGCCGACGGAGGAAAACTTTCCACGAGATCTCTGGCACTACAACCTGTCTCAATACTTTGCAAGAGATATTGAAATTTATCTTCGTCGTCTATGTCACTATCAGCGTCAATCTTCTTAAACTGAGTCCAGAAGGGTATCCAGCTTTTTATCTCTCCGTTAAATCCTGCCAGCTGGAGTTTGGGAAGGCGAAAGTGGCGACGATGTCTTTGAGAAGTCTCTCCACCCTCACTATCCGCTTTTACTACAGTGTCAGATGCCGAAGAGCGGGATACGGTATGACTACAATATTCACTGACCTTGTGCTTCAATAAATAGAATTGACTATTGTAAGCTTCTGAAGATTCTAGATCCTTATCAAAAAAATTCTCGTCTCGCTGTTCCATATTCAACCATAGATCCATCAATCTATTTTGTAGTAACGTTAGCTCGTCGAAAATCTTAGTAATATTTATTATCTCCGAAGACATACCAACTTTATCTTTTTTGTCTAGATATTCTTCTATTTTTTTAGCGCACATAGTAAAACGACGACGTACCACTTTCCTTTGTAGTTGTACCTGGTCCATTTCGCTCACGGTCGCCATAATGTGATGGATTGGATAATTCGATGATGTTGTGATATATGATATATGATAATAGGTTCTGGGACAGCAGGTACATAGGACGAATGGATTTATATATAGAAATAAAATATTTTAGGAAATTCCGAAAGAAAAATATAATGTCACTTTTTTGCAATAATAATTTTATAATACATTACTTTTTACAATATAAAAATTAAACTAAAAAGAGGTTTCATAACACCCACAAACAATCTCCGATAATTTTTAAAATTCGTGATCTACTCTCTCAATGCTTATCATTACAATTAAATGTTCACTTCGCTTGGATACCAAGCCATCTTGGTATATCTGGTAATAAAAAAGCTGATCAACTGGCTAATGATGCTGTTCGCGATGGCGATTTATTCCCATATGTCAATTACTGTAATGACCTAGCTTTGTTGTCAAAAATATACTTGTATGAGGATTGGAATCGGCTTTGGACAATTGCAACTGAAAAGGGGAAGAATTACAGACTACTACAAGAAACTATTCCTTATAAACCTTGGTTTAGTAAATTTAAATTTAATAAAAAAACCACATCAATTATTTGCAGACTTCGATTGGGACATGTATGTACACCAGCAAATCTATACAAATTTAATATTGTTTCTGATCCTACATGTGCTTGTGGAGCGTACGGAGATGTTAATCATGTGTTCTTCTCCTGCCCTCTATATGATCGCTCTGAATTTATTTCCCAACTCCTTCTGATCCGTGTCCCACTTCCTACATCTATTAATTGTTTGTTACATAATAGCGATACCAATGTATATAAAATATTAGCCACATTTATTTTATATAATAATATAAAATTGTAAATATATCCATATGTATATAATATATATACATTGTAAACATCATAAACCTGACCAATCCTTTATCCTACAAAATTCCGTTCTATTCCGTATATTTCTGTGTATATTTCCCTAACTTTGATATTGGCTAAATGCGAAGGCAAAGCCAAAGATGGAGGAGAAGAAAAAAAATTAAATTGTCAGGTCTGTCAGACTAGTATGACAACTATGACTCTACATTTGGTTTGACATTTCGTAGCCATTTTGGTAAAAATATTGGCATCTCTCTTCGTCAATAGCAGTTTTTCTTTACGTAACTAGGTTAGCATTATAGTTGTACTTTTTTAGTTAAGTATATTGTATTGTATCTCACTTTGTATATGAGGTACTCTATATTTGTGGTAAATACCGCCAATTCTACTAAACCCGTTTGTAATTGAGAATTTACAAATATTTCTAATTTCATATGTGTTATAGAGGTTAATATTTCAATTTTTCTATGATATTAACCATTTTCGTGTGTAATTTGATTCGTTTAATTGTATCCACTGTTATTTTAACGAGTTGATTGGCGTCTTTTCATCCACTTTAACGAGCTTGGTACGTGCATGGTATGTAATTTAAAAATTATTAGTAAATAAAGACGGTATGACACATCTTACAGCATTTGGAAGGATGAGATGCTTAGAGACATTGAAAAATATATCCTAGACATAAACAAAAGTAAACTTTAAGCCATAGACTTTATTTTGGCTCTACTCTTACAAAAAGAGCAGATTCTCCGAGTTACTGCTTCTCTTCGCAGTACTAGCTTATTGAATATTGTCGCCTACATAAGTGCTGATGTTGACTAACCTACCTCACATTCGCTATATATATGAAAGTACACATAAGATGCACAATATTAAGTATTTACTGGTGATGGTGTTAACTACACCAATAATGGACTGTAATAGAGAAAGAGTTATAGTACACTGATAGGAAATATACTAAACCAACATTTAAATTAAGTGTATGTGGAGTAGGCATACTGCCCCTTACTACATGCTTATTTTACACTATACTATGTAAAGTAAACAAATATGTAACATATACTATACACTTTTTTATGTTTATCTGAAGTTGTAATTGGTTAGTTAATTTAACTGGAATTTAGATATATATTTTTTCTGACATAATTTTATAACATGTATATTTATACATATGGTATTTGACCATTATATGATTGATTTTAGTATAAAATTATTATCCTTAGAACAGCAGCAGTATGTTTTGATATTCCCATTTTCCAACTAAAACATTTCATTTGAGATATTAGTTTAATTTTGTACATAAATAATTCTAAATAGGATTTATGGTATCAAAATGATTGATATCATGTTTAGAAACAGCATTACATGTGAGTAAATACTAATGATAGAAGTGTATTCCTAATTACAAATAGTATATGTACTAATAATATTTATCACCTTTACACATTGAATTATTAGACATTAACATTATAAGAATTAAATTCAAGTATAACTAGAATAAATTATGTAATAAAATGTCTATGATATAAATAACAAGGGTAGGTACCCTGGCCTCTGCATTGGTATACCTGTATTATACATATAAACCTTCTTGATTCACTCTACAAGCTGCAATTTGCATTAATTACAAAATCTGTTGCATAGTTTAAAAGATATAAGTGAGAAGACTAAGTACTAACTGAGTAAGTTTGTTTTATATTAGTAAAGATAGCTACATCAAACAAATTGAGGACAAAATGGGAGTCGTGTCGTATCAAGAATTAAAGAGCATGATGGAAGATCGTGGAAAGTGGCAAGAGCTCCACCGACAAGAGCATAGCTCTTAAATTATGAATGAAATGAAAGATATGTTTCTGAATTTCATTATCAGTTTGTTACTTTTATAGTTTATCTGCAGCATAAGTCTACAGCACATATAATATTATTAGCAATCTGTAATAGCTGAATAAGAACTATTTTTATATTGATTGCGTAAGGAATGAGAGCAAAGTGGTTCCTGTGTTGATTGTCGCATGCCTGCTCCTTATTAATATGTATTGTGTGCTTTCACATATTATATTATAGTAATAAATCATTGTGACATAGGTTCACACTCATGAACAGGTGCTGCTTGTAGGAACTGGTCTGCTCTCATAACTAATTTTATTTATTTTGTTCCTCAAGTAACTATTTATAAACTTAAAAATCTTAATAATGTAGTACTAGTCAATTTTTTTTTAAAAGAGCAACACACATATTTGTTTCTCATTCTTGTGATGAGAATGCCTTTTCGAACAAGGCATACAATAAAAAAAATTCACTATTTAATAGTGTTTATAATTATTTCTCCTATATTATATTTTGTGGACTTTCTGCATGTAAAAAATGTGCTGCAGATATGGATAATGTATAACATTTTTTCCTTAAATTTAGTTTATCTTATTACATGTTAGTATAAATCATATCATTTTTTTTTCAGGTAATGTCAAACTTGCTGATACAAAATGACAATAACAAGAAGTTAAAAACTTTTCCTTTCATTAGTAGTGATTATTCTAATAAAAAACAATCCAGACATGTCTTAAAAGCAAAGGAAAACTTTCTAAAACATAAATGTAATAAAGCCCTTAAGAAAAAATTGAAAAAGTATAAGCTAAGACATGATGGAAAGGAAGATCCAGAAGTATTAGATGTGTCTAACACATTGATTAGGGTGCTTAAGATAAAGTCACCAACTAACTCAAATATACATAATTGTTTAGAAGATATAACTGAATTTCAAGATACCAAACCCAAAAATTATCTTTTTAAAATGGGCAAAAGAAAACAAACAGTCAAGTCAGTAGAAACATTGACTAATATTGATGCCACATTGATAAATGTACATGAGAGGAATATGATTTGTGTACCTATATCTGATAGAAAAGAGACAATACAAAAAAATGCATTTCAGCTATTAATGGATTCCAGAAATAAAAGCATTGGGTCCAATTCCCCTGGCAAAGAGAGAACTTTGGATGAAGTTGAAGAACTGCAGGAAAATTTTGATAAAAAAAGTATTAAAGCCAAAAGAAAACTTATGCTTCAAAAAATGGCAGAATCTAGGGGCTCTCTGGAAAAAAAAGATTTAGAAGATTATCAAGAGCATATCATTAAGAAAAAGTTAGAAAAGAGGGCACAAAGGTTCAAAAATATGATTATAAATAATGGGAGGAATTCTTCAAAAAAATGTAAAAATAACCAGGATTTTAAGTGTACTATAGACAATGAAATATCGCCCTGTTCTAGTAATAAAATTCATACAGACATAAATGACATCTCAAATTCTGAAAATTCTTTGACATTAATAAATATCTTTAAAGATTCAGTTAGTAATATTAATGCTAATCTTAAATATCCTACTAAAGAAGATGATGATTTTATGTCAAAATTATCCCCTTCATTAAAAAAGAAAGAAAGCATGCTTTGCTATTTTAATAAACTCGAAAAAGATACTCCTGTTGATATTGAAAATACTATGGAAGATGCTGACATTGAAAGTGTTGACAATGTTGCTAACATTAACATTATAAAAGTGAAATTAAACAGTAAATCGAAGAAAAAAGCAAAAAAAGGGAAACTGAGTCTTAAAAAAGCCAATATAGGAATTGAAAATAAGAATGAATCAAAGAAATCGAGTGACTGTAATGATATTAAATCTAATGTAAATAAACCTCTTATAATGGATAACAATAAAGAAGTAAGAAAACGGAAAAGAAAGGAAATCATTAATAACAACTCTGGAATTGAAGAATTGGATGATTCCATAAAATATAGTAAAGACCAAAGACCTAAAAGAGCTACTAAAAAGCCAGTTAAATATACTGAAAATGTAGAATTCTTTAGTTCTGATGAAGAATTACATATAATCACACCAAAAAAGAAGAAAAATGTTGATAGCAAAGAGAAATCAAAGGAATTGACTAAAAGTCGGCTAGAATATAAAGAAGAATTATGTAAAGAGGTATGTAGTGTTACTTTAAAAGTAGCATTAAATAAAGAAAAGAAAAGATTAAATGGAAATGACAATCAGAAGAAAGAAGTCAAAAGAAATCAAACGAAATCAGAAACCAAATTAGCTCCCATTTTTAAATCTAAATTGCACAATGATCCTGCGTTTATTGAAGCGAAAAATAAATTTCTTCATAGTGGAGTTCCAGATAAGCTAAAAAACAAAATGAAGCAGCAAAGAAATTTAAATACAGAAAATTTAGCATTTCCTACTGTTGTTCACGTTCAACAGATCACTATACCTTTCGCTTCAACTTCGATACCATTTACTGAAAATTCAATTGAATATGATTATTCCGATGATTTGTTTTTAAATTCTGAAGATAAACTATTCAAAAATTTAGTGAATATTGATAAAGATGTCAAAAGTAGTATTATGTTGTCTATTTCGAAAAGTGATAAATACACAAATTTACAAAATATTAAACGAAAATTTCCAAAATTTCCTGTTTATCGGACATACCGTATGTTGAAAGATAAAAGTAGAGGATTACTGAAAGATTGTGAGCATACTGAACTAGATAATAGTATAGAAGTCATTAATGGTATAATAGAAATCAGCAATGACAATCTAGATAAACTCAATTGGACTAATAAATATAGAGCAACGTCAGCTAAGCAAGTAGTTGGAAATTCTGAGGCAGTTAAAGAATTAAAGAAGTGGATAGTGACTTGGACAGAAAGTCAAATAAAATCGAAGAAAATTTTAGTAAATTCAGATTCTTCAGATTTCTATCAATCCGACACAGACAGTAAAGACAGTTTGAAAGCTTCAAATCAACTTTTAATAATAACAGGTCCTGTGGGTAGTGGTAAAACAACAAGTGTTTATGCAGTTGCTGCAGAATTGGCTATAAAAGTGATTGAAGTTAATACAAGTAGTAAAAGAACTGGTAAAATAATGTTACAAGATTTGCAAGAAGCTACTCAATCTCATAAAGTTAATAGAGGAAAATGCAATTTAGAAAATTCACAAAAAATGCAGGATGTGCTTTCTTGTGAAAAAAATAATAAAAAAAAAGGCAAGAAGAAGCAGATTTTGCAGAGTACAACAAAAGATTCGGAATCCGATCCAAGAACTGACTCATTAAGTCAATCTGAGTCTCATGTTGGTAGTCAAGAAATTACAAGGACAGGAAGTTCACTCATTCTTATAGATGATGCAGATATAGTATTCGAGCAAGATGATGGATTCTGTTCTGCTATTATGCAATTAATTCAAAGTTCCAAGCGTCCTGTAATTTTAATAGCATCTTCAACTTCATGTCCACACCTCCAAAGATTTTTTCAATTTGCAAAAAATATAAATATGCGTCCATTGTTACCTAGGACCCTAGGAACATGGTTGGATATTCTCTGTTTAGCTGATAATGGTATTTGTTGGCCTGGAACTGGAGCAAATTTTTTAGATTTCTTCAAAGGTGATATTAGGAAAGCTCTTAATTCTTTACAATTTTATGTAACTTCGCAAATACAGGAAATGAAAACTGATAAAGAGTCTGATTCCCAAAACAGTGATATCATTGTAAATATTGACGATGAAAATTCTAGTATGTCATGGGCAGAGTCTGAAGTACAGGAAGAAAAATATATAAATCATCTCTATTTGGATAATAATGTTTGGAAGTCTTTTATGAGAGAACAATCAAGTTTATTAAATTTCCGATATCCCATGCAGTCATTTAATATGTGGTGGAGTTTATCATCTTTACTTAAATTACATCCTAAATCTGAATCTAATCTGAATAATAATACCCATCTTAAAGAAATACCTTCGGAATATATAAAAAATGACATTGCAAATGTAGATATTATTGCCAAGACGATTGATGCACTATCAATTGCAGATTATTGCAATCATTTTGTATTTAATACAACAGCCAACATTTTATCCCAACCATGGTACTCTGCTGAAATTGATAATGTATCAGAACATGAAAATTTTCGGACTTTTAATAGGAATTACGAATTTGTTGATGAGATTTCACACGAACTGATAACTAGATTTATTACAGCAACTCAGGAAAGAAATGGACTTGAAGTAAATTTTAATATTACCACTCCAGATATGACGTATCAAAGGTTAGTAAATGTAAATATGGATATTAGGAAACTTAATTAACACTATATTTTATTGATTATTATTGTTATTTGTATATAGCTTTGAATTCTGAATGCCGAAAAGTAGTAAAAATAATAAAAGACGTTATCAATAGGTACTAATAGGGTTTACTAAAAAATGTCTGCTCTATTTATATTCAAAGGTAACGCTGAAACTGACTCCCTCTCGGAATACATACTGTAGGATAACTAAATTATATCATAGTGCTGATTTTCAGTGGGTTACCAAGCAAGAAAGCATTCGTGCAAATGGTAGTGAAAATAAAAACGTCACGAATAAGACAATTTTATTAATAGGCATGACAGTTGATGCCTGCCTTTACTTTAGTGCGGGAAAGGTATCGCGCAATCGTGAGCGATTGTAATTAACAATTTTTTAAGTTCACTCTTTCACGTGTTTTTGTCTTTTCATTTTTAAAATTATCAATAACTCAACCGAATTAGCTATCTAACCATAATGAATTAGTTAAAAAAAGTAGCTAAATCACGCACGATTGAAGAAAGCGGAATGCGCGGACCGGAAGCAGGTGCGGTTGTTCTCGTTCTTTTTGTCTACATTTACATGTATATTATTTCCTGCGTGATAGCCTATTCTCTAAAATATAAATACATTTTTCATGAATGTATATTAGAATACTATGTACTATATATATATATATATATATCTTATCTTATGTCTAAGCAAATAATATGTTATATTTAATTCTATGGAAATATTCATCATTTAAGTGGGATATTAATAAATATTTTACTTTGTTACAGAGAAAGAAACAAGATAATCTCACAACACAATATGATAGCTGGTTGTTTGAATCCATCAGCAGTATTGGATCGAAAAGCACTTGCCCTTGACTATTGGCCCGCGTGTCGCTCTGTCTGTAGAATTGAGAAGGCTAAAACTGATCATAATTTGAAAAGAAACAATCGCTTCTGCCATTATCTTAAATCCCTAAATATTTTGTGTAAAAGCGATAGTTATGACAATTTAGGCAATAGTTTAAGTACCAAAACAAGTAATTGTTAAAAAATACAGAAAAGCAATTGAGATTGTTATTTTAAATTATGATACATTCAGTATTTTGTATCCTATTAAACTATATCCACTAGTACCATCTCGTCGCCGAACTTGCACGGAGCAACTATCATATTATATATTTTTATTCTGCAGTGTCGCGGACCCCTTTTTCTACTACTTACGAATTCTATAACTACGCGTACCTTTGCTATTTCTTTGTAACCATGCCAACACACTACCTATAACAAGTAAGCAACACAGTAAATAACTATATCAGACCAACCTTTGCGGCATTAGCTGGTAGTTGCTTAATAATTTCATTTATAATATGGTACGTTGGTGTTGGTATGTTATAAACTTAGACTATGGTTCCAAGTCGTACTATGTTCTAAACGGACTTAAGTTATATAAAAAAACCTATAGTATATTTTAAGATTTTCCTATTGGTAATATTTTATTATACTGAATTGATAGACTGGCACAATTTCTGTTTAATTTATTTAATTCTAACAGAAATTCTTATATATATTTATTAAAACTATTTATAGATGGTTGTAATTATGTCACTGGAGAACGATACAGAATACAATATTTTTTGACATTTAAGTAGCTAACCTAAAAATGTAAGTTACGACTTATAGGACTTGAACAAACAAAAATAATTTAGTGATTCTTTCGATGGTCAGTTTCATAATCCAGATCAATATTAATCTTATCAGCATACAATTTGGCACACTTTATATACTTTATTTATCATCTAAACTTTAATTATTTATTAATTTTAATCGAATTATTGTAAATAAGTGGTTAAGCCGTAGTTTATAGAAAAAATATTATGTATTGGTTCGAAATAAATTTATTACACTGTTGTGTGGGAATTTAATGAATTTTAAATTAATAAGTGTTGTTTTCCGATGACGATGTTGTCTAGTATTAGCAAATGAGACCATTTACAATAAGAATCTGAGAAGCGGTGGTAGCCTCGCCCCACCATGTAGGATTTTTTTTTTTTTATTTTTATTTGTTTCACTGACATTATTATTATTATTATTTTTTTTTATTAACATGTATTGACTTCAGCTGCGATTTGATACAGCAGTTTTCGTAGGGCTAGTTATATATTAATATAGATGACACACATACATATTTACATTATTTATATAATAAATAGTTTATGTTTATATATACATATTACATATATATATATATGCTATTTTATATATAATATTATATTTTATGTATTGATGCTGCTTTGCAGCAGAAACAGAAGCTGGAAACCTGAAATGGATGACACAGAAGTACATACACGGATACCTTGTACAAAGTCTACCTCTAGTTTACTTGTAAAAATACTTGCTTGGCGCGTGTCAAGAATGTCTTAATATTTAATTTATCTAAATTAAATAAAACTATCTCGCAGTAACCACTTATTACTAGGCCGTTTTGGTTACGAATAACATTTTATTTTTCTTTCTTATCTTGCTGTTCATAAAGCAAAGTGATACTTGTAATTAAAGATACATTATTCTCATTTATCTCAATTACTCGAATAGTTATTTAAATTAGTCTCCGAGTGGCAACATTAGTTACCTATCCATACTACACTAATCTATAGGTACTAATATAAATGCGGAAATATCAATCTGTCTGTCCGTCTGTCTGTGTATTACCATTTCGCGTATATCCTGAACAGATAAAATAGATGTTTCTAAGTATTTCTATCAGTATAGAAATATAACATTTATATTTCAAAATAATAATAATAATAACCTACTTCTATAATAACAACATCCAAACCGATACAAAAAACCATACTACAAAATGATTTTTTGTATCGGTGCAAGACCGGTCTTTCACCGTGCGAGGAAAGAACTCGCGACCATCGGAGGCAAAGCGCTGTAAACCGCTATCCGAGACCGTCAATATACCTATAATAAGAACCTAGGTGAAATACCGTTACAATAAACTCAATATCCGTCTTAAAAAAAATAAAAATATGTTGTTGAATAATCAGACTATTCCTTTTAGTAACAATCGGTTGAAAACATATTTTTTTAAATAGTACCTAACTTCTACTTGTTGGTCACTGAAACCCAGTTGATAAAGTATAGGTACCTACATAATATAGAGTTAAAATATTTTTGAAAACATCTGATAGGACGTGGAAAGATAAAGGGTAGGTACCTACAGTTATTTTCAGAACATCATAAATAGTTGTTTACTCGATACCGTTGTTATAGATAAGAGGCGCAGCTTTATTTAGTGCTAGAAATATATGGAACAATACTGGAAATGTCTCTGATAAGTCAACGAAACATCGTGATATTCTAAGACGACGTTATAAACATCGCAGCACCCTGTTTACAATTTTGACAAATATTTATTTTTACATTTATCCCTAATTTTAATATTTTAATTTTCCTTAATGTGATTGTTATATTTATTGTACAGAACATATACCTATACATAGTGATATGTATATGATAGTGATATGGTAGCTATACATATTATTGATATCCATTGTAGGTAAACCTTACTAGAACAGGTTTACCTACTTACAATCTATTTTTAATATAATCTCAAATTGTTAAAAATTACCTCCTCTGCCAGTGTTGCTAGTTTTCAAGCTACACTCACAATACTTAATCATACTTTAATTATAAAAATAAAAGTATAAGTATTTAATTCCTACACATATTTTACCTTAATTTTAAAGTAAAATAAAACATCTAAATAAAATATCTGTATTCATGATATCATTTTATACCATAATTTTTATATAAAGTTTCGTCGATCGTACATCGTATTTAGTTTTATTACAAATGTATATATAGTTATTATTTATATCTGAAATTTATTAAATAGGTAAATATTAATAAAGCACGTCTAGTCCAGATTATTCGATGTACTCAACTATCAACAGAAGGAATATATAGGAATGGAGCGTAGTAAATATCTCTACGTGGGAACGCGATAACATAATTGTGTATACTCTGTTAATGAATGCAATTACAAATGAGGTTGACGAACCGGTGCTAACTAGTAACGATTTAGAGCAATTCTATTGACATTATCTAGAAAATACTAGAATGATATTATTGAAATATAACATGTACCTAATATTTCCAGAAGTAACTAATAATTTGCTCGCACTTTGTCACTAGTTTTTACATTTCAATAAAATATAAATATATGCCTTAAAACAGAATACTACAGGTGCCCCTATATTGTTTAAGTTAGTCACCCTAGTAGTACATATGTAAAACATACATAGGTACAACTACTGTAAAAATGCGTAAAATTTCATCATATTCAATACAAAAATGGCGGAGTTATAATTGCATGGACGTTGATATCGGTTGGATGTGGCAAAATTTAAATGAATTTCAAAAGCAGCAGTAACTTTAGGCAAATCTTGTAATTGATATACAATATTTTACTCCTAAACAATGAGAGAACCTGTCCACTAGGTTTAATCAGGAACTCAAATATAGATAAAATTATTGAATAAAATTGTATTAACTACCTATTTTATTGAGGTACCTACCTACTAATTTAAAAATAACTTGTTTATTATTCGGTTCCTAAAATTGCGATACAAAAGGAATTTATCAAATTAATAATTTCTACCATGTCATTCGTTAATAGTTACTGATATTTTATAGTACCTAGGTAGTAACAAGACGATCTATTTCTTGCTCAGATTTAATGGCGGTCGGCAACTGTCACTGGCGCCGGACTTGAGGTTATCAGAGGCGCGTGCGCGACGCCACTCGTCACTGGACCGCACATAAATATCAAGCCACAACACATTCGCATTTATTACTCTTCTAATTGTTGAGCGTAACAGACATCACATATTATTCGAAATGGTTAAGAATTTTCTCCGTGGTGACACTTGCGGTTACTGTAACGCTTGTGTACGTGTTCGCCTGTGTGCTGCGCGTGGCAGAAGCCCCGAGCCTTTGGAGTGTGCCTACAAACACATATTGGAATCGTACGGCAGTGGTCCTGAAAAGTTGAATAAAGAGCCCGAATCATCGAAATCCACGTGCTCTTCATGTCGCTGGACATCGGACGCACAATTTCCTGAGACACCGTCTTCTCTTAGTGACCTCAGTTTGGAGTGGAGTTCGCGTTCCTCACAGCGCTCAAGGACTCGACGACGCAAAAGATAGCCGTTATAGATCTCCAGTGGATTATCAATATCAAAATACATGAATGACTACTTACTACATGACTTGTCGTCGAGTGTCCATCCGTATGTCAGGTATCGTCGGAACTTTGACAACAGGAGGCACGATGTGGTGGCGACATATATAGTAAATAAAGAGTTGAATGTTAATTATTTTTTAATAAACATATAGAGCTGAAACATTCCTTTTTATTTAAAGTACTTGACTAATAAAAAACAACCCGATAAATATTTTGTACCTAAACACTATTAAGTAATACATTGAGACAATTGTTAATAATAAAGTACATATCTACCCACCTAATTATACTAGATAAGCAAGAAGTTGTTGTTATTATGTTGGAAAAGTTTAATATATAGTTTTCATTCTCATTACTATTTAATTTAGATTCAAATATGTACAAATACTATGTACTAAAGTATTGATATCTCAAATTGAACTGTATGAAGTCAATAACGAATCTACATAAGATTCTATAATTATATTAATAATTAAGTTTGGATAATTTTATTAGTTATATTTGTGTCATGACTACGTTGGCTGAAAAGGATGTTAATGATCTTAAAGTTACTCCGTATCCGAGTAAGAATGTATAATATCATTTAGGTTATCTGTGATCGAGTAAAGGTTGTCTCCAAAATAATTGCGCATTATTTCTATTTATCTTCCTCTTAATTAACAAGAAGGTAGTTAATTAAATCAAAATAATTGGTAAAAATTTCCTTATTCCACAAATATAGATAAATATTTTTTAAATTATTGATTTTATTATAATAAATAAGAAAGAAATAAAACTAGTTTAATTGGTTATTGCAAATACCTAGATTTTTAATAGAAATTACATTATTAGTAATTGGTCTATTTTTAGGTTGATTTACATGCACGAAGTCGTCGTCAGATTAGGTAGTAGAAGTAGAAGAATACATGTCGAAAGATGATTTTAGGTCGTTAAGCTTATTATAGTGAATTCACGAAAACTTAAAAGGAATTTATGACGATGTAATCAAGGGACGACTGATTAAAGATCGACCAGATTATTTACAAGTCAATCTCCCTTACTAATAACTTCCTCCATTAAAATATGTTAAATTCTCAGTGAATTTGCCACGACAAACTTACTGACTTGTCTTCTTTTAAGCTTTTTGTTCATACATTATTAGAGTAGCGAATCACCGTACCTATCTTCATATTTATGAAGTACATTATTTAATAGACTGAACGCTCAACCTAGAATTCTAGAATAATTGAATGATAGGAGAAGACAGAAGTTGGACAATAACTTTTTGCTTAAACATACGTCGTATATCTATAAATATCGTTCATTTACCTATATCGTTAATTTGTCTAAAGTCCACGCATCGGCATCATGTATCAGGAGTACAATCTGTTATCATTATAATAGTAAACTTGCTATATTTAAAAAATATTATATAGCTTAGAAATTTAAAAATAGGAAATAGATATTGCACAGTAGGTAGATAGAGACAGACGAAAAACATGAAAAACTTTTACCGTAACAGTACATTGCCATTAACGGTATAGTAGATATCGATAGTCAGCTCCCCTTTCTCCACTCTCCAAGCAAAATATTAATGTATTTTAATGATCCACTATATATTGCCGTGTTTAGCGATATTCCTTCCTTCTTTTCATTATATTTGACAAGTTACGTAA